GCTTAAAATATTCAGTAATGTAAGGGCTTCCATTTGAGCTCTTGATCATTAAAATCAGACGAGTTAAAGACCAGCTACGAACCTCAGAACAATATTAAATTTAACTTTTTAGAAATATATTTTTATTAAAAGATTTATAACTCGGGATATTAATACGTCACCAAGTTCTTTCTGGTCTCAAATTACTCAGTGAATGTTTAGCTTTGATTTTATTAACCACTAAACAAAATCTGACAATTTTAAAATGAGTCATGGTTCTTAATTTAACATTAAAATGTATTTATTTTGAAATTTGTCTTTAGTTAAGGACATACATCCCCAACCCTAATAACTCCCGGAAAGTAATCCATAGCTTAAATAAAAGTCAATAATTTGGCGAATTATTTAAGACTATAAAGAGTTTTGGGAGTTTTTTTGAATTGGGGATATACGTCTTTAAATAAAGTCAAATTTCAATATAAATACATTTTAATGTTAAATTATGGTCCATGACTCATTTTAAAATTGTCAGATTTTGTTTAGTGATCAATAAAATTAAAGCCAAACATTTACTGAGTATTTGAGACCAAAAATAACTTTGTGTCGTATTAACAACCCGAGTTATAAATCTTTTAATAAAAATATTTGCCCAGTTTTTGTAGAATCCTTCCAAATCTCCACTTTTGTGGCGTTCCGTAGATTCTAAAAGAAACAGAGTCTCCTTCTTTAAAGTTCCTCCCATAAGATTGTTGGATAGTCTGGTCATTTGTGCAAGTATTTGAAGAGTTAAGAAGTGTCAAATCAAGCCTTGACCTCAACGGTCTGCCGATGAAAAGATGAGCAGGTGTTAACCCTGTAGTTGCATGAGGTGTTCTCCTATATGCCATGAGAAATCTGGCAACCTTTTGGTTAAGGGTACCATGTTCATCTTTCATAGACCTAAGGGATTGTTTTAAGGTCTGAACATATCTTTCGACCTGCCCATTGGTACCTGGATGATATGGAGCAGAACGTTTATGGCATATGCCATTCAGTTCTAAGAAGTTTTTAAATTCTTGAGAAGTATATTGTGGACCGTTGTCTGAAACCAAGATATGTGGAATGCCAAAATTGCTGAAGAATGTTCGCAGGCAGTCAATGGTTTTGTTTGTAGTTGTAGAATTCATTGGAATAACTTCTGGCCATTTACTGTACGCATCCACAATAATTAAAAAGTAGCTGTTCATAAATGGTCCAGCGATTTCAACGTGAATTCTCCCCATAGGTTTTTCAGGAGCAGACCATGGATGTACAGGTACTTTGGTTGGATCATTACGATGCTGCAACAATTTTTGCAATTTCGAACCAATGTTTCAATATCATGGTCAATATTTTTCCACCAGACATAGGAGCAAGCTAAAGCTTTCATCCGAACCATGTGCTTCATGAAGTTCTTGAAGAATTTTGTTTCTTAATGATTTTGGTATTACAACTCTATGTCCTTTAAATAAGCACCCCATTTGATAGCTCCATTCTGATTCAGTGTCTCTGAACTCACTTGAATGGTTTATGAGCTTTCCTTCATTAAGAGCTTCATAGATGTCTGACAGTTCCTGATCTTTTTGAGATTCTTCTGCTATTAGTTTGCTTGAAACGGGAAGGGTTTGGAGTTGTTGTATTTCAAAAACATCAACGTTGTCTATTTGGTTAACATCTTGGCAAATATTTGAAGGTAAACGGGATAAGGCATCTGCGTTGGCATTTTCATCAGTAGATTTGTATTTGATGTCGAAATTAAAGGCTTGGAGGAAAACAGCATAATTTTGTAATCTAGTAGCTGCTAGAATTGGTATACCTTTTTTGTCACCAAATATATATGTCAATGGTTTGTGGTCGGTGAAAAGAGTAAAGTGATGGCCATACAGGAAGTAATAAAAACGTTTTACAGCAAAGTAGATGGCTAATGCTTCTTTCATTATGACACTGTTCTTCATTTCCGAGGAGTTTAATGTTCGTGATGCCATTGCAATAGGTCTTTCAGACCCATCCGGATAAACATGTGAAAGAACAGATGAGATGACATGCTGGCTTGCATCTGTAGCTAAGATGAGTGGTAAGTTAGGATCAAAATGAGTAAGAAATATGTCTGATTTCATTTCCTCTTTAATGTTTTGGAATGTTCTTTCACAGTCCTCAGACCAAAAGAATTTCGTAGATGACTTGGTGAGATTTATAATTTCTCACTTATGTTTGAAATGAACCTTCTGTAGTAATTAATCAGACCAAGGACGTGTCTGACTTCATGTATGTTTGAAGGGCGAGGCAAATGGTCAATAGCTTCAGTTAGTTTTTGAGTTTTGTATATCCCTTTGTTGCTAATTTTATACCCCAAATACTCAATCTCATTTACCATAAAGCTTGGTTTTTGTCTATTAATTCTAAGATTGAACTGCTTGAACCTCTCAAATACCTGTTTTAAACGGCTAAGATGTTGTTCGTTAGTGGTGCCTGAAACAACTACCGGTATATCATCATAAAAGACTTGTACCCCTTCTATCCCTTCAACAACTTTCTCCATTGCTTTTTGCCAAATAGCAGGAGCTGCAGATATTCCGAATTGAAATCTATTATATTGGTACAAACCTCTGTAATTTATTGTTAACAAATAACGATCCGACTCTCTTATGGGCATATGAAGAAAAGCCTCCGATACGTCAATTTTACTGTAGGTGATACTGTTACCAATTTTAGATAAGATTTGTTCAATTGCTGGAACTGGGTACTCAGGGACAAGAAGAGATGGGTTGAGTGTGACTTTGAAATCACCGCACAGTCGTATGTTACCATTGGCCTTTACTATTGGAACTACTGGTGTTGCCCAGCTGCTGTAATCTACTTTAGAAATAATACCTTCTCTTTCGAGTCTATCAAGTTCCTCATTCACTCTAGGAATGAGTGCAAAAGGAACTGATCGAGCTTTCTTAAAAACTGGTTTAGAATCGGGTTTTAAATAAAGTTGTGCTTCCAATCCCTGAAGTTTGCCTATGTTTTTAACAAATAGGTCATTTTCATATTGTTTTAAAAGATTTTCCAAGCCCAAGTTATTTTTCGAACTCAGTTGGTTGATTTCTTGCCAGTCAATTTTTATTTGTTTCAACCAATCCCTACCAAATAGAGTATCACGGCCTCCTTCCACAATGTATAGAGGTAAAACTTTGGTCTGTCCATGATAGTTAACTTTTACCATAGTTTTACCTATTGGAGAAAAACAGTGTTTATTGTAATCTCTGAAAATAACATTGCTTGGTTGCAACGGTCTGTGGCTTGGAAACATTCTTTTAAAGTTATAGTGCGACATGATTGACGCTCCAGACCCAGTGTCTAATTCCATTGTAGTTGGTCGGTCATTAAGATTAACTTTTAGCAAGATCTTATCATTTGAACCTTTGGAATTATACAAAATATCAACAACATTGTGTGTGGGATCATGGACACATACTGTGTCGGATGTTAGATTTAACTCTTTGTGTACAGCTTTAACATTTTTAGCTGTAGAAATAGTTCCAAACTTTTTAGTTGTTAATTTTATCACTGCATTTGGATTTGACAAACAGACTTTAGCAATATGACCAATTTTTTTGCAATAATTACAAAAGGTGTTGATATGTGGACAAGGTGTTGTATGTGATTTTCCACATCTGTAGCAAACTTTATTAGGATGGATGTTGTTACTTACTTTGTCAACTCCAATTGATATGTTATCACCACGGTGTAGTGTTGCTGCATCCTGGTAGGCTTTCTCGAGTGTAGTTGCCAGCTCCAGTGCTTTGTCCATAGTTGAGACCGATTCGCTGATCAATTTGGCTTGAATCGCTTCATTTCTCAATCCTTGTATGAACTGATTTCGTAATGCTGTGTTGAGAAAGTTGCCAAAGTTGCAGTATCTTGACAAACCTTTCAATTCCGTTGCAAAGTGTTGTATGTCTTCACCTTCCTGTTGACGTCTATTGTGGAATTTGAAAGCTTCTGCTATTTCGTTTGGTGGTGGTGAAAAGTGTTTGGTGAGTTGTTTAATTAATTCTTTATACGAAAACTCCGTAGGCAATTTAGGTTGTAACAAATCTTTAAGTGTTCCATAAGTTTTCTTTCCAATAACATGTAGGAGTGTTATTGTCTTGTTTTCCTCAGAAATATTGTTGAATACAAAAGCTATTTCTAGTCTTTCTAGGTAGCTGTTCCATGTTTCTTCATTATCATCAAAGGGTTCAAAAATAAAGTTCCTCGTCGCCATCTGCTATGTACTATGAAAAGAAAGTTGATTTATGTTTTAATACAAATTTTTATTCTGTAGCAAATTATTGTGAGTTAGCTTTTTCAGTGAAACAAAACAAAAACAAATTAATGTAAACAAAGTCATATGATAAATAAAAGAAATTAGGAAACAGTTGGTTGAACACAGCATAAAGCTTGCAAGAAAATTTTATTTCACCTACTTTTGCTGTAGGTTTAGATATTCTAAGAACGGATACATACACATTTTAAATGTTATGAGTATACTTTATGTGTCAGTTCAGTAACCAAAATTCCATGAAATATATTTATTCCCAGGGTGATGGCATCATAAACAAACATTGAATTATGGTAACTAGTCAAAAACCTAGGACCTCCCAGCTATCACAGAAATATAGGCTCATTTATAAATTCAGGGATACGATAAGTAGTTCACGAATGTTGGGATTAGGTTGGGTCAAAATAAAGTAAAAAATATTTTTATTTTGGTTTATGTTTAACAGGGTTGTTAGGATTTTGTGTGACATAGATAGGAGATCTCAGGTGGGATTTGTTTAGTCTAACTTGTTTTTTTATCGTTCCATAACATTGGTAAGCTATGTAGCTTAAGGACTTATAGTTACGTACACAATCAGCATTGTCTCCCAAAATCTTTAAATGAACGACTCTTACCATTTTAAATCTGTAAGTTATCAATCTGGTAAATTGAAACTCATTGTAATACAGTTAGATGTAGTTGTGGTTTTGCCCAGCTGAAGGAGCGCTGCCACCTAGTGTGGCTGCTGTTCCTAGACCTGTACAAGAGAGACTTCACCCTACGGGACCCTCTGGACGCTGACGTGGAGGCTCTGTTCCGAGCCCAAGGTCTGTTTGAGGTTGATGAGGTGTTGTGGCAACTGAGAGTCAAATTGGCAGCCACTGTGTCAAGACTGAGGATCAAGAGTGGAGCTCACTCCCTCAGCGACCTACTACCTCGACACCTCAAGGTCAACAGGTCGGCTCAGCAGGAGAATATCATCAGCGGCTGGGTCAACATCTTCAAGACCAAGTCAGTCTTATGTTAGATCTACCTTTATTGTTGTTGCACGAGTTCTTGTAGATAAAATGTTTGTGCCACCCTATGCATTTTACCAACTTGTGTGACATTTTCAGGGGTCATCTTGTGTATTCATCTTCTTATCACCAACTCTATAGTTTATAATTACATATACACGGTCACTATTATCGCAGTTAGGTCAGTGGCGTAAGTACGTTGTGCGCTCAACCAAAATATCACCACATCTGTTCTATTAGTTTATCTCATTGTAATAGTCAGGAAAAAGGCTAGCTTGCATAAGTCAAGAGCGTGAACTTGTTCTCTTTCAATGCTTGGTAAGGCTAGAGAGTCTTGTGTTTTTCTTTGCATTTCTCAAAAATATTTTAATGAGATTGAGCTCGGCAAAGGATCTGTAGGCTAACAATACAAGCTCAATCCGACCTTCTAAAATATATGCGTGATAAGTGAACGATTCATAAGTAAAAGTTCAGTAGGTACAGTAGAACTCAAAAATTATCTGAACTGCTTACAGAAAGAATAAAAAAAACATAAAAAATATTAATAAGAATTGTTGTTTAGAAAGGCAAAATCCAAAAACTCGACGGCAGAATTTTTTTTTATTTTCTCCCACAGTCATGGAAACATCGTCTTCATTTTTTGTGATGGTGGCAACTTCCGCAATATTGAAGACATGATCATCCTCTCCCGCAGTCACGGGAACAATGTTACCTTTTTCCGTGATTGCAGTGAGCAGTGACAATCGGACTTTGCTAGGGTGTTATTTACGCCACTGGGTCAGGTCGATTGGACAACACGATGGCAGACACCAATTCCACACACAACACAAGCCATGACACTACTACGAATGAGATGATTTTGGACACTTTGAAACTCCCAATAAGCTGATTTCCTGGATACTGGAGATTTCTGTCCTACAGCTTGTTCAGAGGGTCACTCGAAAGGGTGGAATTTTTTGGCCAATGGGTGGTGATGCATAATACAGAACAGGACTCATTTCAGCTGGTGATTCCACGTGAGTTGGACACATGGTAGAATATTCCAGAAGTTAATTAACATATCTACAGTCTCAGTGTCACCAGAAAAAAATTCACAGTTTGCACTTCCGTATATAGGAACAAGCCTACACTGTCTATTGATTGGAAATGGTTGAAAATAGGAAATGATGAATAGGACTAAGAGCTACAGAGATCAAGTGTTCAAAACAGGAAATGATGAGTAGGATCACAATGTTCAAGGAGTTTAAGAAACACAAATTGAAACTTGCTTTTAGGGTATAGGAACTGATAAAATTAAGAACATTTTAATATTTAAATTATATATTTGAATTGAGTTAGTAGTGTACTACAGAAACAGCAAATGGTTAGTTCATTTATAATGTTTATCTGAGTGTTTACACCACTTATGGAGTGGACATCATTTGTTAATGTTACATTGAAACTACTAATTTGACTAAGGTTAACAACATCTGAAAAAGAGTTTATAAAAGTCAGCCAAAGCTTGAATGTCCATTGAATGTTACAGCTTGGTGGACACTTGTGCTTACCTGGAAAACAGTGGGTTTGAACCACTACCAAAAGACAGAGAAGTCCTCGAGCCTCTCACCTATAAGACTGACCATCTGCTGCCCAGGTTCCTCCACATCATGCCTAATGTAAGAGAAGAACTGGTAGAGTCTCTGCTGGTCCAAGATCACCACATTGTCATGCAGGTTAGTAAACTTGTAACAAACTTCTGGGTAGAGGAGTTTATAAAACCATGGACTTTTGGATAATGAAATAGACATCCCATCTATTAAAATAAAACATAGTTGTGTGAGCCACTCACAGAGTGTGATACGGGACACAATTATATTTTCACCACTCGCCTTTGGCTCTACCTGTTACCTGTTGGACCTACCTGTTAGTCATCATTTAGAAATTTAGGAAGGGGAGAGAGGCCATCACCAAGAAGCCGGGGAAATTTCAAGTCCGTAGCACACCTAGAAGTGGTGTAGATAGCACTCTCAGCATTTCTTAAGTCTCTGTCATATTTCAAGTAAATGGTTCTGATGTCCATACTAAAGTCAGAAACTTCCAATGTTATTTCCCATAAGAATGACATAATGGGGAGAGAAATCGTTAAAATCGGGGAAGGGGGGTTTTTATTATTGGAAAATGTAACTTTTGGTAATGTTCTAGGTTGTTTGGGACCAAGACCAACAATCCTATAAAATTTAATATCTCCAGCTAATCTTAAAGTGTGTAAACGTGGTTTAAAATCTATGTACCTGCAGGAATAACATTGGGGAAGTCGATATTTCGAGGGGGGGGGGGTTGTTATTGTAAAATTTAACTTTTCGAAATGGACGCAAGACCTATAATCGTGCCAAATATCAGATCTCCAGTTAATCTATGAATGGGTAAACGTGATTTTGACTGATTAACCTGTAATAACATTGGAGGGGGGAGTCAACATTTGGGGGGGGGGGGGGGTCATGATTTTAAAATGTCACTTTTGGAAAAGGGTGCAAGACCTACAATCGTGCCAAATTTCAGATCTCTGGCTTATCTTGAATCTAGAAGTGGGTAAACATGATTTAGACCGATGAACCTGTGATGTCTATGTGGTAGATATAAGAGAGGAAATCAATTTAGGGGGGGGGGGGATTTTTTATGTTCCTTTTATATTCATAGCATTATGAACGCCCTAATACAATAATAAACAGTGTATAGTTTCCATACCCTTGCGCCCATAGAATAGATAAAGAATCTGTTATAACCTTGTAAAAGTGAAAAAATAATTCAAATTTGGCATTAAAATTTAATTTTAGGGGTCAATATAGCGAAAACCAATAAAAATTCGGAAGAAAATTACAAGTTTTTGAAAATAAGGCGTTTTTTTTTTGGGGTGCAGGGGTGAAATTTTCGGAAAACACATGAATGGGTTATGTAGAAAATTTAATTCCTGATTAAACTTAAGTTTGGGGGCCAAGGAGTAAAGTTATGAAAAAACATGTAGATAGTAAAATTTAAAGTAAACTAAGGACAATGCAAAGCATTAATAATATTTGCAAAAATAGTTTACCGTAGTAAGTATACAATAAGTTGTCGTTTCAGTTTGGATTTTTTTATTTGTCATATTCTACAGAAATTGGTAAATATAGACATCAGCACACTTTTATAGTGGCTTAATTCAACTAATTGCTACAGCTTAAATACTTAGTTGTGTAATGTCTACTTCTATCAATCAAACCTGTTAGCAGGGCCGGTTTAACCCATACGCGAACTACGCGGCCGCATTTGGTGCCACGAATAAGTGGCGCCATGGCGCCAACGGAACATTTTTTTTTTACGTGAACAACGTAATTTTGTTTATTTTTGCTCAGAGTTCAAGTATTCAAAGCACCAAAATAAAGGCATTTATTCTGTTTGTACCAACAGCACTATAAAACTTTGTACAGCACTACAACTCAAGGACTCAATGCCATTTGCAGTTTCGATTTGAAGTGAGCTGACGCTCGGCAGTCGGCAGCGTCAGCGCCAGCGCGGCACCTCTATGGGTTTCATTTCACGACTCAATCATGCTCGCGAATCGAGATAAGCTAGCACGCAGCGCCACTTGTCACAACAAGAAACTTCCCCTTTCTTTCACTCCTTTCTGCCTCTGATCCTAGAGCAGAGCATTACGTTGTATTGCACTCTTTTAGTTGTATACGTAGGCCTATACCGTATCGGTATCGTATTGGCATTGTTTTGATGATTCATGATTGTTGATAAGCAAATTATTACGAGTGTTTTAAGTTTAATTTATAATTAGCGCATTAAATAAGAAGAAAGTTTAAACTGAATGAATGAGTAAAACATCTTGCGAGCTGATACTATGAAAACAATGGCAGAAAAAAAGAAACCGTCTGGCACTTATTATAGAAAGCATAAGGCGAATTTGAAAGAGGAAGAAAAAAAAGCCAAATCAAATGAGTAGATTTTTGTAGAAATCATCTGGTGGCGAGTCCAGTCAGCCCAAAGAAGTCACGATAGAAGACGGCAATGACGTAGGTATTTATTTATTTATTTATTTTCCAAGGAAAAATTAAAACAAGCAGCTGATCACAAACGGCAAACATTACGTCATTGCCGTCTTCTATCGTGACGTCATGCTTGACGAGCATTACGGCCTGTTTTTTTAGTGTGTCCTTGGTTTTGCTATAGTTTATATGATGAGTAAAAGTGTATAAATGTCACATTTCAGCAAATAATAAACAGTATTTTATTGCAAGTTAGTATTCTTCTACCTAAACTTATAAAAAAAGTTCTTCCCAAAATTATTGGAAAAAATTCACAAATACGGTTAAGTTATATGTTCATGGGTTTGGGGGGGGGGGGAATTCTAAGTGGCGCTGATTCGGGTGTTCGCTTAACTCTGAAAAATTCCTAGAACCGGCCCTGCCTGTTAGCTTCCAAGTCAGTTGATTAAATTTGGTGTAATACGGGTAGTCAAAACATTTTTGACAAAGATTACAGAAATCACTTGTAAATATCCTATGAATTGGAGAAAACATTTTCTTCACTAAGGATAAGAGTCCATGGAAAAGTGGTATAAAATTATATTTTAGCAATAGTTTGTCACCAGAAAACTATGGTCAATCCACTAAAAGATAAAAAATATTCATACAATATAACAAATTTGAAAAAGATATGCTTATTTTGAATTAAAATAACAGTGATATTATAAAACTAAGCTAAATAAACCATAATAAATGTTTTTAATTTCTTTGAAGAACATATTTTTTTGATGTTGATGCAGGAACGCACATTCTGCCTGGGTCCAGCAGTTATGGCACAGCTACTTAAAGACTTTGCACTTAGCGGCAAAGTGGCGCAGACTCATGTCAATTCCCCTATCACAATGGCTTACTTTGCCAACCTCCTCATAAACAACGACAAAATTGAATCCCTCCTGGTTTTTGGCGCTGGATATAGGTAAGAATTAAACAAATAATGTCACAATTAATAATATAATCTCACATGTATAATATATGATTGTAGAAGATAATTATGAACGCAAAATTATGTTTAGTATTACTGATGTGAAAAATACAGTTTTGGTTCTTTTTTCACAAGTACTATTACAAACCAGAAACTGAATAAGTTTGTATGGTTCCTTATAAATTGGAAATGTAAAAGGATTTGCCTGAGATACTGAACTAAGCTGTGGGATTAAGCTTGTGACGGATGTACTATTACAATGTACTAGCTCTAAATCATACATGATTTAATTCTGCTATAAAATCAGAAAAAAGTTACAGCCAACTTAATTGCTCATTAAATGTGCTACCTACTTAAAATTGCTATGACAGGTACCCCATATTAATGTATAGGTACACGAGGGAAGGGGGGTTATCCTAGTATGACAAGGTAATATTTCTATTAAAGAATGGTGAGAAGTTACAGTTTGCTACGAGGAGAAAATGTGTCTCATGGGTAATAAGGGAGCAACCAAATTACAGGAGAATAGGACCTGAACTACAAGGGTTGTTTTTTGAGTAGGGGCTTTTTTTGCCTGTAACTCCTAAGTTCGCAACGAGGTAGCTCGCTGCTCTGTAGCTGACATGTAAGCTTTGCTGTGTGTTTAGAGAATTTATTGAATATTTTAATCTCCTGTCACAAAGAGCACAGAAGCTCTGAGTTCTGGTAAAGTGCAGAAATGGGGATCATAAATATGGCCGTGAAAACAATTTCCTTTGTGGTCTTCTGTGAGAAGTCTGGGTACCCACCAAAAACATAATACCCTCCAAAATGTACATGTTCATGGTAATTTTTTGACTCCATAACCCATTTATGCACTTCGAGTTTTGAAATGCAAACTAACTTGCAGTTAACGTGCTGTTGTTTTTGGAAAAAAACATTTTCAGTTTTAATTGTTTGTAGGAAGGAAGCGTGTGAGCAGTACCTGAAAGAGCTGGGTGTGAAGAATACTTTAGTGTTCTCTGAGAATTTTGCTACATTGTCACCAGAGAACAGAGTCCTGGACAACGTCATTGCTGTATTAGCAACTCCTCCCAACACTAATAGTTCGGTAGGTCTGTCAGATTTTAATTTAATTAAGGTACAGGGATCGAGCAACATATTTTGTCATGGTTATGATTTTTGCCCATCAACTATAACTTACTATTTAGTCCTATTTCAAATGTGGGTGGATTATTCTTGATTTACACTTCCAAATTTTCAATTTATTCTTAAAGATATTTAATTTCCAATAGAAGGTAGTATTACATAATTTTCCTATGTTTTTCCCTTAAAACAATTTTCAGCCAAACATCAAAATAATTGAGTTTTTAAATGTTTGAACACATAATTAGGTAATTTAGTAACTTTTATGAACTGATTTTTGAAGTTAACCTGTCAAAAACAAAAGTTTCTTTCCCTTTCATTTTTGTTTGTCTCACGTCTCTGGAGCAGGTGATGATATAGGAGACAGGAGTGCAAATACTAATACCTAGTATCAGGGCCGATTTACCAAAGGCACTTAGGGCGCGAGGCAATTGGCTTTTTTGGGGGGCGCCAAACTTGGAAAATAAAAAATTAATTTTGTAATTGTAGGCTATTTACATACGATCGCGGTAAACCTCTGATAATCCCTCTCGGCCGTGTTGACATCATTATCGTCTCCCGTGGCCATATGGATATCATTATCGTCTCCCGCGATCGTGGCAAAATCTAAATATTTCCCATGGTCGTGTGGACATAATTATCGTCTTCCATGATCGTAGCAATATATGAACATCCCGCGGTCGTGAGGAGATTATCTTCGTCTACCGCGAATGAGGCAAAATTCTGATCTTTTCCCTCGGTCGTGTGGACATTAAATGTATTGCACGATCGCGTTAAAATTCTTATAATCACTCGCGGCGAATACTGTATCATTATTGTATCTCCTTCGGTAATGTAGAGATCGTAATCGCCACCTCCTCCGGTCGTGAAGACGTCGTAATTGCCTCCCGCGATTGCGACAAAATGTTGATCATATCCCGCAGTCGTGTGAAGATCATCATCGTCTTCTGCAATCGCGGTAAAGTTCTGATCATCCCTCTCGGCCGTGTGTAGACTTATTATCGTCTCCCGCGGTCATGTAAAGGTCACTCACTGTTGTCAAGCGCGATCGCGTTAAATTGACAAATCCAGGTAGAAATATAACATTCACGATTTTTAGTTGTAATGGGGCAAACCTGACTAGCCTTTTTCTACCCCATTTTACAACTAAAAATCGTAATATTTCAACTATTTCTTATTCAATCTTTTTGAGCTTGGTATCGTTTGATAGGGAATTAAAATGCCAAATAAAAGTGTTTTTTCATAAAATCTACAATTAATTATTTTGTAATTTAAGGTTAACAAATTAAAATGGCCACCATTTTAAAATTTTATGATGAATCAAAATGATTTTTTTCTATCATGGGTGTCTATTACCTTAACATACATACCAAGTTTCATAATGATCGGTTGAAAACTTTTAAGATAAAAATATTATGTGAAAAAAATTGCAAGTATCTGGTTAACGAAGCCATTTTAGAAAAATTTTATTTTTGATTTTCTCTTTATTTTGACCCATAGAAGTCATAGAACCATTTCCCGGAGTATGGCTGTTTACTTACGGGACACCCTGTATATTGCAAAGGGGCGCTACTATTAGTTGTGCCTAGGGCGCTGACATTGTCAAAAACGGGCCTGCCTAGCATACATATACAATAATCTATACATCACAGCACTTTATTCAAGCTGAACAGTTAAAAACAATCAAACTGATGTGAAGCCATCCTGCAATATTTAGAATAGTCGTTTTTAAGTGTTTTAATGTGTTAAGAGTGCTATATTTTTTTATTATGGCTCAATTAAATTTTTTATTAGTGCACTTAAAAAGCAAAACAGTGAAAATAGTTCTTTGCATTGTGAACCCAAAGGTTGATTGGACTGCACTGAGTTGACAAAGTTTTTATTCTGTTCTACTAATTTAGTAAAGCATTTTAATACATTTTTTCAGTCAGCCCAAGTGTGTTAAGAGGACTAAGGTCATATTTTTGGTACTTAGAATAGACCTATCAAACCAAAATAAGTGGTTCATTGATGCATTTTGGGCCTTTTGCATGTAACAACATAGTACAACGATTTCAAGACAGGCCTGCATTACTGTAGTCTTCCTAGAACTTTGATCAAGAACAGCCATTGACAACTTTCTTGTAAATGCATCAAAATCTTGTGATATGACGATTACAGGCATAATAACATGTTTATCAGATCATGACGGGCAAATCTTAAAAATTAAAATTCCCAACTTAGAAAAGCATTACAATCCGCCATTTATTAAGCAAGAAATTCGTAAGTTTTCTTGTGAAAACATAGAATATTTTGTTAAACTTATAAAAGATGAAAAATGGCTTGATGTTTATTTAGCTCCTGTAGAAAATAAATTTGACATCTTCCAAAAAACATTTAGTTATTACTTTGAATTGGCTTTTCCAAAAACTTTAATAACAAAAAAAAATAAAAAAAATAATTGGCTTACAGAAGAAATAAAAATCAAACGTCACAGACTCATAGAAATCAGCAAGGAAATCAGAAACAACAAAAAACATGAATACAAGGATATTTTCAAAACAGAAGTAAAAGACTTTAAGAAAATATTGAATCAAACCAAATCTAACTATTTTGCAAAAAAAATTAATAATTCTTCTAATATCCAAAAAACTGTATGGGACATTATTAACTCGGAAGTTGGAAATAAAAAACAAAAACACCTTAATAAAATAAAACTGTTAAGAGGCACGCATCTTGTTGAGGATCCCATATTAATTTCAAATATCTTCAATGAATATTTTTTAAATGTGGTGGAAGATCTAGATTCTAATAACAGCCAATGGGATTCAAATGTAACACATGAAATCCCATCCAGTTTTCAACAAGATGTCTTTCTGAAACCTAAGTTTAGTTTTAAGAGTGTTTGTGAGAAGGAGGTGGAAAACATATTGAAATCGCTAAAGAACAAAAAGTCTAGCGGCCATGATGATGTACCTATTAATTTACTTAAGAAAGTAGGTCATAATATCAGTAAAGTTTTGGCTCACCTGATAAACTCTTCCTTCATTTCTGGTTTGTTTCCAGATCAATTAAAAAAGGCAAAAATTATCCCTCTGCATAAAAAAGACGATGAGACAGATGTAATAAACTACAGACCCATTTCACTTCTTCCAACTGTTTCCAAAATTTATGAAAAAATTGTTTACAATCAGTTGAGTGATTATCTTGAAAAGTTTAACTTACTTGATGATTACCAGCATGGTTTTAGGCCTGGAAGGTCGGTAGTCACTGCAGCAGTATCATTTTTAGAGTCAGTTATTGAATCGGTTGATAGAGGTGAAACAACAATTGGCATATTCATGGATCTATCTAAAGCTTTTGATAGTGTAAAACATCCAATATTATTGAATAAATTGAAATTGCTTGGAATAACTAAAAATGCATTGCAATGGTTTAATTCCTATCTGAGTAATAGAACACAATATGTTGAAATTACTCAATTAAAAAATAATAAAATTATTCAAACTGCCTCAGAAATTAAAATAATAAAATATGGAGTGCCTCAAGGGTCTATTTTAGGACCATTGCTATTTTTGTGCTATTTAAAGGACATAAGCAGTGTCCTAGTATGTAGACCTAGAAGTGAATTGTGCCTGTATGCTGACGATGCTAATTTAATTATTTCCTCTCCTACACTGGAACAAACGGAAATTTCTGCTTTTCTAGAACTTGGAAATTTGGGCAGTTATCTGGTGTGCCAAAACCTAAAATTAAATAACAAAAAAACTAATTTTATCACATTTAAAACACCACAAAATAAAAATTCCAATCACCCAATAATAATGTATGACTCGCAACTTATTGAGCAAAAGACCAGCACAAACTTTTTGGGTCTAACAATAGATCAAAATTTGAATTGGAATGATCATACAAAAAAAATAGTTTCAAAAATCAACTCTGGAATTTTTGCCCTTTCAAAAATGTCTGTGTACTGTGATGTCAAAACTTTGAAAAACATTTACTTTGCATATATCCATTCACATATTTCCTTTGGTATCTGTCTATATGGAGCAACAACTCAAATCAATCTAGATAAAATATTAAAACATCAAAAAAGAGCAGTGAGAGTAATGCTCAGACTAAATTCTGATGTCTCGGTAAAAGAGCACTTTAAACAGCTAAACATACTAACTGTTTATGGGCAGTATATTTATGATTCAATTTTAATTTTTAAAAATAAAACCTCATCCGATGTATCCAATCTACCGGTTCACCGATATGAAACGAGAAAAAAAAATCAGATTTTGCAAAATAGGCACAGATTAAAGTTTTATGAAAAAAAGCCATCATTTGCTGGTAAAAGTTTTTTTAAACATATCCCCGGAGGAATTAGAAATGAAAAAGATCCAAAAAAGTTTAAAACAAAACTAAAAAATTTCTTAATAAACATGGCAATTTATTCTCAAGAAGAATTTTTCCACCTCCCTCAAGAATACTAGAAGAAGGCATCTGTATGGGGAGATGTATTTTTTAATTTAAGATTTATTTTTAATCTGTATTTTATATTTTAATAATTGTAATCTTTGACACTATTCAAATGCTGTATTATGTATACTTCTCAATGAATAAAGAAATTGAAAATTGAAATTGAAATTGATCAACCAACGTCAATTAGCTTAACATTTTTGAGTTTATTCGATAACTGCCAATAAGTGAGGCTATTCAAATGTCACTTTTATTTTGTTTTCAATTTGCATCTAGTTATCCAAAACAACAATATATTTTTGACAAGAAACTGGGAATATCTGTCTTAGGTTGTGGACCCGGTGGACTTAGCGGTCGCACGAGGAGGCGACCTTCAGATTTTGCAACAGCTCACAGACGATGACTATGCCTCGACCCCAAGAGGTGACAATATCAACAAGTTCCTGCGAGATCAGAGAGATACATTGCGGCGTGGTATGTCCAAGCCTCAGGTACTGCTATGTTGTATCGTCATCAGCATAAAACTGATTGCTGTAAAACTGACAGTCTTCTGTTGTGATTTTCAAAATTTGCTATCTCAGTCATCTGAACATAAGCAAATGTACAAATGCACATAGAAAATCAAAATTTTGGATTTACTTGATGAAGCTTGGGGAAGGAATAAGAACAGATTGAAATATCTCTCTAGGACTCTCTGCTTGCTAACATTGTAAATCAAAAGGATTTGATGAATTGGAGGTTCTAAGGTAATATCTTAAGTAGTGGATATGAGAAAACGTTAAGAATCATGTAGGCTCCTTCAAATTTTATCATCAATTCACGTAAAAATCATTTTAAAGAATTAGAGTTCTTTGTGTACAGTTTCTATATTTATAAGACGATAATGTATGTTACAAACCATGAATCAGGACTTCAAAGACGTACAAAAATATAACACTAGAAACAAACTAAATTTCATAACTAAAAAACATAAAAGAAAAATTTAAGGAAAGTCCTAATTATATTGGAATTAAATTCATGCATTCCCTCCCCAGCAGTATTAGAAAGGAAGGTAGCGTAAATAAATTCAAAAACAAAATTAAGGGGTTTTTAATTGATAGTGAATTTTATAGTTCAGATAATTTTTTACACTGTAGCAAAAAAAAAAAAAAAAAAAAAACTGTATGACTAAGTAGGGAAGTAGGTTAAATTATTTGAAGTAGTTTTAGGTTGATGACACATTCATGTACACTTGTTTTGTATGTTTTGTCATGTCAATAATAATGATTGAGGACAATCAATTCATTGAACCGATTGCTTGAACTAATTTCAAAGTTCTGTGTTTACAATGTATCAATAACCTCTGAATGCAAAGCATATAGGCATACTCTTCATAAACATGGTATAATATATACTCATAAGGTGATTTATACTCAATAGCTGATGGATATAGTGCTGCCAGTTTCATCCTGAGAAAAGTCAATAACCTTTTTTGATTGTTTGAAATCAACCCTGTCTCCTTGTTCATTAAGCTTTAACTAAATAGTCCTACCATCTCATAAATTCAACACCCATCCTTCACTCATTTCACCTTAAAAAAACCCCTGTTGTGTCAATGTTATATAAATGTAATCTAATTCGAACAGTACTAATTTCTTTCTGGTATAAAGGGGTATTACATAAGGATACACGTTGTTTGGCCAAAGATTTTATAAAAGTAAACATTTATTGAACATGTCGTATGATATAGAAGTTCCATAGCACTCAATTCTTGGTTGCAGATTCAGTTTATCGTGTACGAAACTCATTCACGATTCCATTGTGAAAACGAGGAGATGGCAACAAATCTGGTAAACGAGTTGAACAACTACGCGAGAGAGGTTCACCTGGAGGAGATGCGTCGAGCGCAAGGAGAGACTCAGGAGAGAGAGAGATGTCAGGCGGAGGCAACTGAGGCTGCGGCAGACGTTCCTACAATAAAAGTGGAAGAGGAACTTGCACTCCCACTGCCCTCTCCCACACAATCTGTTCAGGTAGCTATCACCAAACAAGACAGTCACCAACTATCACATCAGTTGAACCATCTTATTACTGATATGAGGTTGGGTTGCAAGCAAAGTGTATTTTAACCTGTATACATAGATAGAGGGACTATTTTGTTGAAGGTCCAATAATCAATGACTGTTGGATTCAGTATCAAACCATTAAATAACAATAGAAATATCTCAGGATATAACCGGTGACCTACTGATTATTGGGTGATATGAGCAGTTTGAATGTAGGTTTTACCCTGGAGACCAAAATGTTGAAGTTAAGTTTCTCCTGAAACCTTGAAAAGTGTTACTTAAAAAATAAAATGCTCATAAAACTTTTGATTCTCTTTTCGTTTGGTTGGTAAGTTTTGGTGTATACATTTTTGGAAATGGTTTTATTTATTCTATTTCAGAATCTTTGTTGTCTTAAAAGTACATTTTACACTTTTGAATCAGTTTACTATCTCAAAAGTCGACGATTGTCAAAAGTTGAGAGACCATTGACAAGCATGTTTCTATTCAATCCTCATATCTTGGAGTTCCCAGTTAAATAGATTTTAAAAAAGGTGACTGTGAAACTTCCTATTTCAGATACCTCCGTCAGATTTGTTTGAGATTGCTGAAGTTCCAGACCTCTGTCCAAACATGGAAAACTGCCTGGACCTGCAGAGTGAAGGAACTTACATAGCAGTGATCAAGCGAAAGGTAACTAATGGGCTGAATAAGGAATTACTTTAGAATTGTACCTATATTATTTGTTATTATATGATATTATATTATTATACAATACCCGTCTCAAAGGGAAAAAATAGTCTAGCCCACTGATGTTCCAAAAAAATGAAATTGAATTATATATTAGCTAAGACTCAAAGCCTTGTAGGTCTTTTTTCAAACGGATCGAACTAAACAAAGGGTCAAATTAATTAAGTAAACATTACCAGGTGTATTTCTAAACCCCTTAACATCCACCAAAAAAATCAGAATAAAGGCCTGCAGTGAGCCACCATGAGCCACATAGATTCTAAATATGTGCGAATGATACACATTTTCTGTAATCATATGTATAATTTCAAAGGAATAAATAAACAATTTTTCCTTCAGTAACCTAACAATGTACATGTTCTCTCACTGATTTTAGAAAGCAAAGTGGCCAATTCGCTCATCCTCACTCTAATTACTTTGTCTCACTCACTCCAGATTTGCAACGTGAAGGCACGAAATAGTGAGTGCGTAACATGCAGACAAGGTCGTATGCGCGCGGAATACGTTGGCAGCACTGGCTGTAAATCAGCTGGTCAGCTGTTGTACTGTTGTGTCATTAAATGTCATATTAAAAGTTCACTTCTGTGTTAAAATATGTTACGTTTCTTTCCCAATTTATTTGTTTTATGGTAACTGTAGGAAAAATATAATGTGCAACTCGAGTGCAAAGTAAAATTGCCTCACTCGAGAAACCATTCCTCACTCGCCTACGGCTCGTGAGTAAGTATTTCTCTCGAGTGAGTCAATTGCTCACTAGTTGCACAAATAACTATAGTTTGACAAAATATTCTATTTAATTTATTTTATTCAGCTCTATAGCATTCTTAAATAAAGTCACCTTTTAAAGCTCATCAAGCAGAGCCATGGGTCAATATCAAAACACAAAGATATAAAACTTCCCTCATATAATATGTCGCTAATTCCCTAAAGTTTCCTGGCACCTGATTTCATAATACATAGAGTTACAAACATGTACCTATCTATAGATCTTATGATGGTAGGTTTAAAAAATCCTGACACTTTTTAAACAGCTGTTTCTCTGTTGCCATTGTGTTTAGACTGTTTAGATTGCTGCAGAAATTTAGAATTCAGATCATGCCGTTTGGGAAATGGAGTAGCTCAACACCAGCTACAGTCCCAGTGTTAGTAGTGGGTTAGGGTTATTAATAATCACCTTATGTAGATTATTTAAATGAACTAATAATTTATACTATCAGAACATGAGTAAAAGTAGTGTAAGATAATTGAAACTTACTGTACTAACATATAGGGCCAATTTATAGGAAATCACACGGCTGGACCCCAAGTACATGATCCAGATGGCGGAGGCGAGAGGGTTGTTTGGGCGGCCGGACGCTTCTCCCAAGGCCAAGACTCCGGGTCAGACTGCTCGGGCTAAAGCTGCATTGGCAGCACTACAGGCGCGATCGGACTCCATGGAGAAAAACAAGACTAAAGTCAAGGTGAGTAAACAGCAAAACAGAGCATTGGTTAGGAGTAGACGATAGACATGGTAAAAAAAGTGAATAATCTTTGACTACTTGGGTGTTTTACTCTTATGGATAAACATATATTGATAGTAAGGTTCAAGTGGTAAGGGAAATCGGTTGTTAGCAATAATCAACACACTTACACCCAGGGATATATCCCAAACATGATTATTACATTAACACAAATTAAGGGAATCGGAAATTAAAGCAAATCTTTTTTTCAAACTAGTGTAAATCACATTTTAGCTTATTAAATATTTTCAGTCAAAAATTAGCATGAAAAAATATTTTTGCAGGTTAATAAATAAAAGTAACACTATTCATTCACCAACAATCATTATATCTTCCTGATATTTTTTTAAATTTTGCAATATATTTTTTTACTAGTTACTTGTTATCTGTAGTTTTTACAGAGATCTGGATGGTGCAATTTTGTTGGAGTAAAAATGTCTGTTAACTAATAAATTTAATTAAACAATGTTTGAACAAAAAAAAACCATCTTAGACGAAGTTAGATAAATCCTTCATCTTGTGGGTTTCATAAACTTTTTTCTAAATAAAAATTCCTTAAAATAATAGATTTTGTAAATGGTTCTAGTTAAAATGAGTTTAAATTCACGGCTACTGAATCAGCCCTAATGTAACTTATAGAACAAAGTCAGTATTCTGTCACAAAGTTACATCGAAGATTGCCTATAATTGGCATCTGTTTGGGCATTACTTGAAAACAATATTTTTCAAACAGCTCATCATTAAGCCATTTGTGGGTGGTACATGAATTGCAGAACCCTTAAGATTTAGAGTGTCTGTACTGTAGAGTCACATACTAGTTTTGGAAATCTTGGATTAAAACTTATACACACATTTGTATCACAATGACAAAGGACTAGGTAGGTAAGTATACTTTGAGGAGTATTTTTTTTAATCTCTCTACATTTCATACCTATAAATTCCCCCATAACATGCTGTATTAATGTTGGTGGATCACAAGCCCAAAAAAATTGGTATCCACCTTATTGTACTTTTTCCGATACCCCTAACATTTCTATCTTGTGCAAAAAAAATCCTAAGTGGAATATTACTGGCATGTTTATTCACACATCACCACAAATCCCACACCAAGTTCTTCAGTTTTCACATATAAATTAGTTTACACTTGTATTAAACACTTTTACATTCACTGCATGAGTATCACCAGTTTTCCTTATATCTGTACACTTGGAACAACAGTCAATTAAAAGCTTTTATGATATGGATAATACATAACCATAGTATGAGTTTTTTTTACACAATATTTTTTTAAGAAAAGTATGTTTTTTACAGATTTTTATTTTACACTCCTCTTTATAATTATTAAATAACTGACATACTCTAAAACTAGGGTCCAACACATACACACAGTGTGTATATTTAGCCTTTTTCCCCTTGAGAAAATTTCCAAGGCACACCGCGATATCTAGAACCCTACAGCCCTGGCCTTGCATCAAGTGATTTTCACCAATTCCAAAATTAAAGGAATTATTGAATGTTAAGCAGTTTAGAAAGGACAAGCAGTAACTAGATAGCTCAAATTTCCCGCAACTGATGAATACAACATCGAAATAGAGATTCTGATGCTCTCATGCTCATCCTGATGGTCTCATGTTCAATAAGTGCCGAGACAACAATGGGGATAACGTAGAAAAGAAAGATAAGGTACTGGGCTTTGTAAATAAACTCGTGGTGTTGACATCTTTAGTTTTTATTTAACCATGCTAAAAAGCTCTTTACTTCCTGGATGACCCTCTAGTAAAAAAAATAATTTTCAGTTTATCTAAAGCCGAGCAATCTCAACTCAACAAAGCCAAACTTAATATAACTTTGGAAATATAATGTAATATACATATTGCTTCAAGTTCCATTTTTAAGTTGTGCACACACAGTAATTTGAAAATGTAAAACATATTTGACTAAACATAGCACTTATCCTGTCAGCAACATATTCTTTACCACCTAGGTTAGTGATGGGGAATCACCGAATGAAAATAACCGAATCAATCAGTTATTGATGCTGAATAGACTAATTCGGTTATTTTATCCTGGTTCGGTTAAATTAGTCTTACCGGTGATTTAGTTATTTAGTTTGTCACATCATCAGGAAACTAAAATTTATTCGGTGATTCGTTCGAAAATCACGGATTGATGCTAAAAAGTAACTGATTGATTATTCGGTCATGGAAACCATTCAGTTATCCCATCACTAACCTAGGTTACTAGCATGCGTCAATCACAAACTTAACCTTTTTTTAGTTTGAGGCACAAGAGCTATAAATGTATTTTACACCACACTAAATTGTTTTAACGAACTTCCCACGCAAGGATTTAGTCCAGAAAACAGCTATTTGCCGCTAGCTTGGTCAAATGGGTTTTCATTACGTACTACTGTACTGTAATGATTTTTTACCGGATGACAAGCAGCTAATTATATTTGGCATTGAGTGGTTATAAAAAAATATATAACCTCTCTTAGAGGTTATGAGTAGTTATTATAAGTCCTTTAGTCGGAGGATTCTTTATTGTTAAGTAAGCTTAGAATAGTATGGCATAAAATATTGTACGTCACTCGTCCAAAATGTTTTTACCGGACTCTTATGGTAATCCTGCAGTCGACTTCCATCTCACACGGGAACTACCACACTCTTCCGGTAAACACCTATTTCAGGACTAGTAACGTAATAATTAAAAGGCAAGATCTGAGGTTGGATACAAGATTTACGGTATGGTAAGGTTGTATAAACAAATGGTTCTTCAGGTAAATTATACTGATAAGGTTAAAATGCTATATGTTATTGATTTATAAAGTTTATACCTATAGGTTTACTTTATTTTTTCAATTAAATGTAAGAATTTTATATAATGAGAGTGTTGCAATATGTTCAAGCTCTGTGTTTATTTAAGTTGGACAAAGTCCTCCATGATTTGGATGATGTAGGCTATTTATATATTAGACAAAAATTAGTGATGTATGTGACAGGTGGAGATGGAACGTATAGCTGCCCCCACACGTGCCTCGCTGCTACGAGACATCCATCCACCTTCTACTAAGGACTGTCCACGCTTTACCCATCACCTTGCTCACGACGGGACACCCTCGGTGAGTCACACGCCCAGGGTGTGGTGGCGCGAGTTGTCCGTGTATCTGCTCACTCTGGTCAACAATCCCGACATCGTACTGCCACCCCTACGCCTCACCCGGCGCAAACACAAACCCATCGTCGTTAAGACCAAACAGCCCCGTGACACATTTCCTGTCCATGTCAACTCCATTGAGTTCAGATCTGATACTGAAGATTTTGCGCCTTATTTATCTCTTCCAAGCTCGGTCCCTGACACTTATACTCATTCGGTTGCGTCATAGCATTCAAAGTCTATATTGATTATCTCAATTTATAGTTTAATTCCAGTTCACCTTGACTTGGCTGCGTGAATTTTAAAGAGAAAAATCTGGTCTCAGAATAAAACTTAAATCTTGCCAAACAGCTTTTCCCGTTGTATAATTAACTATCACAATGGCTAACTATACTGATGTGGCACAACTATGCAACAAAAAGTGTTAATACCAATACCACTGCCTAAGTGTGTGATACTTAAGAAACATAACCTTGCATTTAGTCTGATAATGTTATTATTTTTGTTCTGGTAAAGATTCCACTAGTTTGAACAGGTTGGAAGCAAATTAAATCAAGAGACGTACAAGGTGTTCATGGCAAGGTGTAATTTTTGTATAATCGGTGTCATTTTTTTATACAAAACATCAATAGTTGTGAACATACAAATTAATCTTTAAGTACCTACTTATAAGAAACTATTGTGTCATAAAAACACAAAAATAGATTAGTAAACCATAGGCTGTGAACTGTTGATTCTTATAAAACAAAATATATTGGATTGGATGTACATAAAGTTTATTATGTCATGGGACACACAGTAAGATATAAAATTTTCGCATTCCAGACAAGACAAGAAACCTGTTTTTGAATAACTAACATACTTTTTTGATACCATATACCAAAGGGAGTAGCAGAAGTGCTAACATTGTTCTCAATTCCCATTGTTTTTAAACTGAATTTAACTTAACAATATATGATCATAATATTAATTGACTCCTAACAGATTTATTTAAACTCTTTTGTTTATATTGCAACTGTTAGTGTCTGTTATCATTTTAGAGACAAGACAAGTTGTGTTCATTATAAACCCCTGTTTGATAATTGGCGATGCTTTAAATATTTTACCTACGACCTTTTTTTAAAGTAGCAGTTTCAGTTCAGTTCTTAGAATTAAACATTTTTACATAACAGCATTGCTTACTTATATAACAGCATAGTTTTACTTAACATCCCCTTGTAACGGACCATGATGTACAAGGATTGAGAGAGAAGAAGTAAAATTGTAATGCTTCGAACTTTAACTAATCAGCTGTTTACCAATTTAATTGTTAATGATTGGATTGGTGCAATTAGTTATTGGTATTGGTCCAATGAGTCGTTGCATCAATTTTAATGGCAATGAGAGGTTATAAACAAAAACATAACCTCTCTTAGAATTTTTGAGTAGGTAAGGTAGTGATTATTAGAAATTAAAAACCGGTCAAAGGTAAAGTAGTGTACCCAACTCGCGTAAATAGTGTTAACGACACTCGTAGAAATTTTTTAAGGCACTCGCCTTAAATTTTCGACTTGTGTTTTTAACACTATCTTTACGCTATTGTTGGGTAAACTACTATTATGTTAACTGATTTTATGAGTATCATACAGTCAAATTCCAACTTAAATACTATTTACAGTTACATATGTAACATGCACGTTTTGTGTAGGCCTAATTCATTCTTTCAAAGTGTAAGTAAAACCAAAAAGTGGAATAAAATGTCATGTTATAAGCCTTGATTAACAGACAACTCTGTAACATTCAGAAATTAATCTTCCTCTTTTATGTTGCAACATATAAATAATTAATTATGCAGTAGTTAGTCAAATACTTGTAGAAGTACCAGTTTTCTGACATAGAACATTGCTCTAATTTGACTCTATAAACTTATTGTATGAAGATACTCTAGTTATTTTTTTTATGTTCCTAAAAAGAAGTTCTGTTAACTATTAGGCACGGTTAGTTGTTGTTGAAATGATTAGGATCAAAATAGCTTTATTCATTATGAATAAGAACATATTTATTTCATTTTAAGGGTAAAAATGGATGTTGAAAATAGACCTGGAATTGAACGAACTCAAACTTGTCAAGTAGGGATTCGGCTTATTCGGTTCACAACAAGGAGTACATATCGTAAAGATAGGATTAAAGATCTGATCACATGTTAAATAATTATTGTGCCAAATATTTAGGTAAATATATTTATATGGAATGTTACTGTTTTTATTTTCTACCTGGAAACCAAAATTGAATCCATGCATTTTCTTTATCCTTTCCTACCTCTTATTTTGAACCATCAAAACATAACTAAAACAATTTAACAATTTTAATAAACTCGTTGTTTGGATCCCGACAAAAAGTGTCTTTGACTCAACGTTAAATTTGGGATTAAAAATATTGTTTAACATTCTTAATGTGTATGGATTGATACAGCTTCCATGTAACTAACCCATAATCTGCTCTTATCTTTTTCTTTCTTATAATTTGGATTATCAAATAATAAGTAATAAAAATAAAATTCTATTAAATGAGTTGTTTGAATCCCAACAGAAGTGTTTTAGATTCAACTGATTTGTTCAGTTAGGGATTTTTTAGATAAATTACACTTTATGTATCTGTGTGATTTGAAAGCGTTCATACAGTTTTGTTGTAAGTTTTATTTCCATTATAAGAAATGAATAGGTTTGGTAAAATTTGCTTTCTAAGCATTATACTTTACTGCATAGTAAATAATTTAGACCCTTATATGTTCCCAGTAACACTTTTTTACAGATTTTGTTAGCATATACTCTGTAAAATCCTTAGATTAAAACTTCAATTTAATTTTTAAAGTAATACTTAAAAAGTAGATTTATGTTTTTTTTATATATATATATTTATCTTATTATTTTGATGTATTTTACAAATGAACAGTACTTGTATCCAGTACCTGTTGTAAGGAGAACCTTCCTTACTGCGGAAGAGGAAGAGGAACTCATCAGAAGACTCTATATCTGTCCTCGGCTCGATATGTTCCCGCCAAAACTACATGAGGTGAGTCTTGTTCCCGCCAAAACTATACAAAGGTGAGTCTTGTTCCCACCAAACCATATGAGGTGGGTCTTGTTCCCGCCAAACTATACAAGGTGACTCTTGTTCCCACCAAAACTATACAAGGTGAGTCTGGTTCCCACCAAAACTATACGAATCTTGTTCCCACCAAAGCTAAAAGGTGAGTCATGTTTCCACCAAACTATACAAGGTGAGTCTTGTTTCCACCAAAACTAAATGAGGTGATTCTTGTTCCCGCCAAACTATACAAGGTGACTCTTGTTCCCACCAAAACTATACAAGGTGAGTATTTTTCCCACCAAAACTATACAACATGAGTCTTGTTTCCACCAAAGCTACAAGGTGAGTCTTGTTTCCACCAAATTATTCAAGGTGAGTCTTGTCCCCACCAAAACAATACAATATGAGTCTTGTTCCCACAAAAGCTGAACAAGGTGAGTCTTGTTCCCGCCAAACTATACAATATGAGTCTTGTTCCCACCAAAGCTAAACAAGGTGAGTCTTGTTCCCATCAAAACTATACAAGATGAGTCTTCTTCCGCCAAAACTATCAGAAGTGAGTCTTGTTCAGGGCCGGCGAGAGGGCGTGGCAGGGGGGCCGGAGCCTATTTCGATATGGGCTGGACCCGCACCTGTTACGATACGTCAAGATTTGTCAAATATTCTCTCTTTGCCTGTCTAATACCTGCACTTGCTTTTTCGATAGGGACAGGCCCAAGTCTGTTTCTATAGTGAAAGGCCCGAGCCTGTTTCGATACGTCAAAATGTGATCCTTACGTCAAAAATATTAGCCCTTGCTGATTCTACACAGGCCGGGCCTGAGCCTACTCCTATACGGACTAAGCTAAAGCCTGCTCCACGGCGGGTTAGCCCCAAGTCTGTGCCGTGGGGCCCTGGCCATTTAAAACCCGCTCATATATAGCTGTCTTGAACATGATATCAAATGTGCGCGCGTCAGGACTACATTGCTGCGACCGCAGTGATTTGATCACATTTTGATGTAACTAGCTGTTATCAACCACAACCAAAGCGAGTATTACTTCCTCATGGCCTTGCAGCAGGTACCTTGACATAGGCAACCCTAAATTTGATCCCAGTATTGATTCGAAATATACCCATGTAGTCCAGTCAATAAAGGGATTGTAGAGGACATGGAGAGGGGGAAATTTTTTTTCTGCAGGAATGTGTTCGGGGTAGTTAGAAGATAAAAATACCAAAAGTCCCCGCCCCAAAACACCAGTCAATAAAGGGATTGTAGAGGACATGGGGAGGGGGAAATTTTTTTTCTGCAGGAATGTGTTCGGGGTAGTTAGAAGATAAAAATACCAAAAGTCCCCGCCCCTGGCCCTGCTGCTTCAGCGGGGGGAGGGGGGGAAAGACCAAATTTTTTAGTTTTTTACTTCTACACTGAAAACCGTGCATAGTACGGAAAAAATGTAAATTATAAAAAGAAAGATGATGAAATTCTCTACAAGAATGGTTGTATTCATTTCTTCCGTATATGCATTGGTTTAACAGATATTCTCAAAATAATATAAAAATTCTTAAATAAATTGATTTTTCATGCGTTTTTTGTCAAATAAGTTTATATAATCCATTAGCCTGTTGTTGTTTCACATTAATCAGGATAGAAAACAGGTTTTTTAACACTAACCTATATAATATAATATATCAATCGTATATATTGTGTTAAAAATAGTTTATATAAATTTAAATAAGTTATGTATATTTGTCATTGAAACAAGTTTAACAAGTAATTTTGGCATAATTATCACACTAAAAATTAAAAAGATTATGTTTGTAGCTATATTTGTCCAGGTTTATTTATATCAATTACCGAAACCAAGACTTAATACTATTGTTCATGGTCTCTCCATAATCCAATTCTAGTTCATTAGACTCAATATCTGCTATCGATGTGAGAGTGCAGTGTATATATTCTTCATCATCCTCATTTATCAGAATTGGCATTCTATTTAAACGGTCCCCTTTGCAGTTCTGGCATAACGGCCAATGAGAAACATTTAATGGACATTTCATTGCATGTACATCTTCCATTGCTACAATCTTTAGTATATTTGCAAAAAACAAGCCCAATATTTCTCGTGGGTTAGGTGGTTCATTGGTTAAAACTGGGAATAGATTACCTTTTTTGCGCTCCCAATCCTACATTCCTGAAGGTAGTTGGTTTTCCAAACAGAGTTGTCCTTGATTAAATGATACAAATGATGAAATATCAAATATTTCTAAACTGACAGCAATGTTTGAAAATCACTCACTCTTCCCTGAAACTCAAGACATCATGTCAATAGCATCTGGGGTTGTAGGAGATGAATCCGTTAACTGTTACGATGCTGTATTACGTAGTCTGCGAGTAATTAATCAAATTGTAATCATTTGCAGACAATAAGCTGTCACGGGAAAATATGGCTCTCCCTTTGTCCTCTGTGAGTTCAACCATCGATATCAATGATTAAAACGTTGCAGCAAAACCTTTAATTCTGTTTCAAAGGATTTGTATAAGTTAAAAAAGTTATCAAGATTTAATGGATTGTTAACGATTTGAACTTGCTCCATTTCCCTTTATTTAATGAGAGTGGTATGAGTAAAGACCAAAAATGCCTGCACTATTCAAGTTCTTTGGAACCAACCAACAACAGTTTTAAGGAATTTTAATTTGGTTATCGATGGGCTATTTCTCACGCATAAGGTTATATGGCAAAGGGGATCTTCAGTGTCTGCGATATGTGATGGATACGTGAGGTACGTGGATACCTATTACCTTGTAAGATAATGCATTGTTGTTTTTGACGGATATAGCGATTCAGAAAACAGCACGAAGATGGCAGACCAAGAAAGACGCTACAGATTGAAAAAATCAGTAGCAGTGGCGGTCCCAGGATTTAATTTCTGGGGGGGGGGCCTCTGGTGGTTAACCCCCCCCCCCCCCCCGGAAAAATGTGGAATTTAAAGCACAATAACGTATTTTGATATGCATTTGAGCTCTAAAATATCTTCAAGCTAATAGTATTTATGTTAGCTAATAAAATATTTTGGAGAGGATATATACCTCCCCCCCCCCCCCCTAAGGGACCGCCACTGGTCAGTAGATATTCATTTCAACATAGACACCAAAATTATAGTAACCAGGAACAGTTAATCCCTTAACCAAGTGTTTTGCAAATATACTAAAGATTATAACAGTGCCAGATGTGCAATTTGTGCATGCAAGAAAATGTCCAATAATTGTTCTCCGTTATGCCAGAACTGCTAAGGGAACTTTTTACATGAAATGCCCATTCTGATGAATGAGGAAGATGAAGAATATATAGGCCTACACCAAATTCTCACTTTGATAGCCAATATTGAGTCTATCAACAAGAATTGAATGATGGAGAAGTCCTAGATGGTGGTTTTCAGTTCCAGATGGCACCAGTTTTTGGGACAGAAGTCGGACCCTCTCGTCCCAAGTGAGCCAGACCATGAACAACAATATTAAGTCTTGGTTTCGGTAATTGTTATAAATCAACCTGGACAAATATAGCTACAACTATAATCTTTTTAATTTTTAGTGTAATAATTATGCCAAAATTACTTGTTTCCATGACAAATATACATAACTTATATAAATTTATCTATACTATTTTTAACACAATATATACGATTGATATATTATATTATATAGGTTAGTGTTAAAAACCCTGTTTTCTATCCTGATTAATGTAAAACAACAACAGGCTAATGGATTATATAAACTTATTTGACAAAAAACGCATGAAAAATCAATTTATTTAAGAATTTTTATATTATTTTGAGAATATATTTTAAACCAATGCATATACGGAAGAAATGAATACAACCATTCTTGTAGAGAATTTCATCATCTTTCTTTTTATAATTTACATTTTTTCCGTACGATGCACGGTTTTCAGTGTAGAAGTAAAAAACCAAAAAAATGGGGTCTTTCCCCCCTCCCTGCTGAAGCAGCAGGGCCAGGGGCGGGGACTTTTTGTATTTTTATCTTCTAACTACCCCGAACACATTCCCGCAGAAAAAAAATTTCCCCCTCTCCATGTCCTCTACACCCCCCTTTTGAGCATTCATTGACTATTTTTGAAAGACATGTTTTTAGGCGAGGTTTATTATACTGTATTGGTCAGCTTGTGGGCTTCACTCACCTTAATTTGTTAATCCAGGACTCGTCAAATGTAACACAACGAAGACACAAACACACATACACGCACATAAAAATCGTCCTTGGATTAATTTACTCCGACGTTTCGCGGGACCAAGATAACGTCCCGCTTCCTCAGGGAATTAAAACTTTGTTTCTCTATAGGGTATAAAAATGTCTCAGAAAAATTAAGGCGCATAAATTCAAAATACAAAATTCGTACAGTTTTCAAAAGTAAAGACACAATTAGTAGCCGTCTCAACAAACTAAAACCTGAAAATGAACAGCAAAACACAAAAAATATTATCTATAAAATTCCTTGTTCGTGTGGTAGAAACTATGTAGGGCAAACGTCAAGGCCAGTGTCGGTGAGGATTAACGAACACGTTAAAAAGGTTAAAAATAAGGATAGGTATGGCTCGAGAATCTGTGAACATGTATTAGAGACAAAGCATACAGTAAAATGGGATTCCAGCAAAATTCTATACAAAGAACCGGATTGGAGGAAACGGAACATTCGCAGAGTCGCTATTTATGGCTATTGAAGATGAGCCTCTATCACGACCATCGGTGGATGTTAGTACTGTTTATTTACCAATAATTAAAGAAGAACTAGAACAGCTGAGAGACAAGGCCAAGGATGTCAAAGGCTTATCTACAATAACCAGTACGTCCACCAACCCCCCTGCCCTCCCCCCCTCTACTGGAACAGCTGATCCGGCAGTCGTGGTTAGGCGTTAGGCTCGTGTACGCGAGATAAACAAAGTTTTAATTCCCTGAGGAAGCGGGACGTTATCTTGGTCCCGCG